CTAGGAGCAAGACATCTACATCTCAAAGACTCTACTAATCACATCTCCTATTGTCCCTTCAATGGGTGTATCAAGCTAGTAAGAAACACAGCCACCCTGGAAGACTTTTATGGAGTCCCCCTAACCAACTCTTTTAGACTGAAGAAGCTGCTTGGACAAGTAGTGAAATATCTCTAACCAAAAAGAAAAGAAGTCCAGTTGCCATGATTTAACCTCCAGACAATTCCACCTGGATGACTGAGAATCTTCATAAACATCCTTGTGAATATTTAATGATGTGGACAAGTCTGGATCCGCCCAAGTTTAGAGAAATCAAGACCTCTCTGAATGGAAACCACTACAAAAGCTGGTGGGTAGCTGAGCCCCCTTTGGTCCCTCTCTAATTATACCACCGAGAAGAGCCAAGATGATTGTAACCTATGTCTCTCTCAGGATAGCTTCACCAAGACTGGGTTAAACCAAGATATTTAGTCTTTTAAAGCATAACATCAATACATTAATTCCTTTGCATGATTGCAGGAGAGTGCAGGTCAGGTCCAGCCATTATTTCCAATTCTCTTGCCCTTCTTAATGCTCACCCACTGAGACCATGACCAGCCTATGTGAGTCTCAGCTGTCATCTTGAAGCCACCAAAATGGCCTTGTCAGAGGCACAAGTAGATATTGTATTATGCCTAAAATTTCATTCCTTTTTTGATGGGGAAGTCCTAAATCTTCCCCATCAAAGGCCATCCTTAACACATGGTGGATATTCAAGGGCCATCTTGGACACGTGGATGATGCAAAGTGGGTGCAGCAGGATTTTATTTTATTTTTCTTGGCCTTTTTGGGAAGAGAGATTTGGTATTTTCTTGTTTTTATCAATTTCATTAAGCCTCTTTGAAGGCTTGATGGATTGATTATGTGCCATCTAGTCTTGTCAACTCTTAGCAACTACATAGGCAGAGGTTCTCCATGACGATCTCTCCCTAACCAGGTTTTCCAACAGTGCTCCCATTGTTACTGTAATGGAATCCATCCACCTTGTTGCTGGTTGTCCTCTTCTTCTGTTTCCTTCCACCTTTCCCAATGTTCTCAAGGGAAGTTTTCGGTACGGTCAAACTCAAATGACTTGTATTCCAAAGATGGCTGAAGTCTGAGTATCTCTAAAGCCTTAGACCCTTTATTTGAATATTGATTATGTGCTATCAAGTCAGTGTTGAGTCTTAAGGACCATATAGATAGATTTTTTCCATGATGATCTATTTGATGATCCATTTGCTTGTTTTCTTCTGAAAGCTTACAATTTATATGTTTCTTGTGCTTTCCACTTCAAAGGATAGGAAACCATGCCAGAGGAAGAGAGGAATGTGTGTTACTGTTTTTATCTTCAGCTTCACTTTGAAGCTGACAATGTGCTCTCAGACTGCATCTGGTGACCCTGGAAGGGACACAAGATTTGCTGGTTGAGCAAATTCAGAAGGTACTTCCTTGTGTACAGAAGCTGCCTTAACACTCTCATTTGGAGTAAAGCCTGGGTCTTAAAGGAAGTTGAATCCTGAAAACTCCAAAGAGGGAGCAAAAGAACTTTTGCATCTGCTCAAGCCCCAGGATTTTCACTTGAGATTTTCCTCCAAAAGTTGCATCAGCTGGGCTACCACGGCTGGCAACACACCAACGGATTTTTTCTCCTGTGTTGAAGTGATACATTTTAATTTTGACTCATGATTGTGTCTAACCTATTGCATTTTGCTTATTTACATATGCACACACCCACGTACCTGTGTAGCGGGTTCTCCAGGGTAAAACCTAGTAACCTAGTAACTCCTATAGCGGCCATAGGCACAGATGCAATGCTTTGCATTGAAAACTGCCTGGAGAGCTTCTGCTATCAACCTAAATAGTCTTGTTTGGATCAATGTTTCTGCTGGGGAATTCTGGGAGTTGAAGTCCACACCTCTTCAAGTGGCCGAGGCTGAGAAACACTGCTCTACAGAGTCTTCCTCTCTCTTGTTAGAAATGCAGAGGAAGTGAAGGTGAGACTTTTCACAGACAGAAGGTGCATTCTGCTTCAGAGATGGGCTCCACTCCCCTAACTTTCCTTCAATTTCCACAGAAGAAATCTGTTTTGGGGGTCAGTTTCTCCTGGTTTCCAAGCAGCAGCACCCACTAGATGGTTGGTCAAAACAGTGGTCCAGGCAGGGTGGGTTGGTTTTTATTTCGGCTGCTGCACACGTCTTGACTTTGGTCCCAGGCCTGGCACTGATGTTTATTATTTGTTCAATGGCCTGTTTTTGTTTTGCTGATTTTGCTGTTTATTAGATTATTTTAGTCTGGGCTCTCTGCTTGATTTAAAGTTTTTAGCAGTTTTTATGCTTTCTCTAGTTTCATGCGCTGCCCAGAGTCCCCTTGAGTTGGGCAGCCAATAAATTTAAATATTATAATAATGATGATGATGATGATAATATTCATTTTGTTACAAAGTTTTTATCCTGTCTTTATTGTTAGCTGCCCAGATGCATGTATTTTAGATGACTGACTGAATGAATGAATGAATGAATGAATGGGCTTGCCTGGCGTCTTTATGCAAGGCCCATGCCTCTGGCCCATGAGCACAATGCATATGCAAAAGGGGTGAGGCTTGTATCACAACACCATAACTGCCCTCTTGTCTGTTTTGACACACACACACACACACACACACACACACGCATGCCACAGATGCTATTGCTTGTAGCCAAGCTGTTCTGTCTGTTGGTTTCTTACCTGACCAGGTGAAGAATGCCATCAAAATAAGTCTCTGGAGTTGACAGCATGCCCCAGCAGCCTACTGACCCCAAAGCATTGTACTCCTTTTTGTAGCCGGCACACACAATCAGGTTTTTTAGAGCTTGCACGGCAGTGCTAGGTCAGACAAAGGAGCAAGAATCAGTGCAAATCATTCAGCTGTTGCCCCCTGCGAAGGCCACGCTTGCACTGACATCAATCTGCCACCCGCCGGCGTTCAGGGTATCTTCAGGTTTCACTTTGCGGCTTGCACAGCAACCACAAAACACAACACAAAGCAAAAAAACCCAAAACACTTTTTTTCTTCCCCTCTAGTAATCAGGTTGGTTGTTGGACTCGAGGTGGTTTGGTTAATTTCAAGTTTCTTTGGCCTGCACCCCAGAGAAGCATCATTTAGACTTTTTTTCTTTTTAACCTCAGGAGAAATAAGCAGCAGCAGCAACAGAATAAGCGACAAACACCTGGCCCAGGAAGAGATGCCTGAACCTACCAAGTGACGATGTTGGGAGAGGCTAGGCATCTGAAGGGTGTGTCAGTACATAACATGGACCTCCCGGCTGGTGGGATGCAGGCAATGATAAGTCAGTTTGCAAGCTAGTCTCTAGATAAGAGATCCTAGTCTGCACAGGCTAATATGAACTGGGGGTAAAAGTGGGCTTGGGCCATACTGGTGGCACACACTGACTCAAAGGTCCCCAAACTGATTGGCGTTGTGTCTCGTCACCTGCAAGGAATGCTGCATATGGCATGACTAGGATGAGGACTGCTAACCAAGTTACACCTACTCTGATCAAAAAGCATTCCATTAAAGCTGTGACTGAACCAAGCCATGATGGCTGGCAGTGTCAGTATCTATGGGCCCATCCTGAGGTGATGTGACTGGGCTCAGTTGCTGTAAACCTTGATGAGTTTTGGGGGGTTCAGCAGTGTTTTGTGAATCTAGCCATGGTTCAATAAAGCAGGAATGTATGAATCTAGTAACCAGGTTAAGTATGTGGTGAGCACACAGCTAAAGAGTGGCCCAGGACTTCCCCTCTCCCCGTCTTTCCCACAGTACAAATACTGAAGGCCAGACATGATTCCCATTCTAAATTATTCACGGACGTTTTTCTTGACATGGAGCATCATCAGTTAATGGTGACTTCACCGCCATGACCTGAGATGGTGGCCAATTTTTTAAGACGGCTTTAAAAGGAAGGAGAAAAGGGTTTTATAATGGATGATGGAGCCATTGATTCGATAAATTGAACCACCAAGGTCAGAGGAGGTTGATCTGCTAAGAAGGCTTCCATCGCTTTGAGCTCCTTGTGAGCTCCACATGTGTAGAAAGTAAGGAAGAAGATCTTGACAGGAATATGCAAGAGCTGTTCCTAGGCAAAGGGGGCTGAAGGATTCTGTAAGCCTTGGGAGACAAGATACTATTTGGAAGAGGCTCCAGCAGGCACCCTAAGAAGGAGAAGGAGGTCCAGCACAGACTTGCAAGATTCCGCTATTCCAGTCAATCTCAATAAAAGTAATTTTAGCCTCCCTAAAGTTGGTTTTAGCCTTCCCGGAGTTGATTTCCTGGTCTGGGCATCTGGTTGGCCATTCTAGGGAGCAAAATCTTCCATTGGGCCAGGCAGGGCAGCCTCTGGTCTCCCAATCTATTTTGTTGCGGCCACCCCTGAGATATGGCAGGGTGAGTATTGAAAATGGGCAGTCTTTTGTCTCCCCATGTTGAGTCCCAGAGAGCCTGGCTTTGCTCCCCAAATTTAAGGTTGACCGTGCTCTGTGAGTTCAGCCAGAAAATATTGCCTGGGGCATACAATTATTATAACAGCATTTAAAACCAGAGCCCCTTCCCTGCCTTAAGAAAAGAGCTAGGAAGAACTTCAGGGCGTGAAAGAGAAGGTGGTGCAAAGTTATGGGACGAGGACTGGGGAGACTTCCATTCAAATACATCCTCAGACCCGGAAGCTTCCTGGGGGATTTTCCCTGGGATGTCCACAGGGACCACCACTGTCCAAAGGGGGATGGTGACCAGGCAGACAAAGCCCTGCCTCTTTTTATATGGGGTTCAATTGCTTGATGGCGTCCGCCATTTTGGGCCATTGACGGCCTATGTGGATTCCCCAGGGACTCAGGCTGTTGTAGGATAAATTAGAGAGGGAATGTTTCCTCAGCTGTCTGGAGCGCTGGAGAAAGATGGGATAGGAATATGAATGAATGAATGAATGAATGAATGAATGAATGAATGAATGAATGAATGAATGAATGATGCAACCCTTCCTGTTTTGCATCTTTGGCCTCCAACCATAGTCCTGGTCCTTCAGGTCCCTGTTGATACATCACCCTCTGCTGCTGTTGGCTTAGGTGGACCCAATCCATGGGAATGACGAGAACGCCTGGAGTGCATCTTGGGGGAAATCTATAGGCAACCGCTCAGGTTTGCACAAATGGAGAAAGGATCCAGCCTGGGCCCAGGAGATCTCTTACCTCAATGGGGTGGATTGTGGCAGAACCTCAGAGGCCACGCTTGTTTTCCTGGATCCATGCTTCTCTGTCCCCATCACGAAATAGATCTGCGTGGCCAGTGCAATTAGCAGGTTGGGGAATTTGTTCTGGAGAGCATCAGAAGCCTCAGGCAAGGAGAGGATGACGCTCAGAGCATTGGTGGCCTAGAAACGGGACAAAAAGAGATTCTCCTTCAGCACAGGAGGTTTCTTAAATTACGAAGTCCAAAAGTGGAACTCTTTTGTGGTGGGCAAGCCAGGGGAACACCTTTTCATTCCCCCGGGGTGCTGAGCAGGAAGTTCTACGTCCGAGCCCTGGTGCAATGTTTTGCTGGAAGTATGACTTCCGAGACACTGATTCTGCAACCCCTCCTGACTTCGAGAGGACAGTGGGGTGCAGATAGAGGATGAAAGGGAGACGAAGCTTGGGCAGAAAGCAGTGCAAGCGAGGCAGAAGAAGGGACAGAGAGATTGCTAATCTGAAGTTACTTTTTTTGCCCTCGTTCCCAAGCTCACTTAGGAGGGTGTGTTCTTGACTCTCCTGATATGACACGCAGTAGTTAGCTAGACTTTCTCCTTTTCTATCATGTATTCTCTTAAATCAATCTCCTTTTGGTTAGTTATCAAACCTGCTCGGCTAATCCTTGCTCAGGTCAGATTCCCATGCTCAGGGCTGTCCAGGAAGCACACAGACAATGCTCCAATCTTCAATGGGGCTTTTTTGGCCTTTGCCCCAAATTTTGTTCCAATTTCAGCCCCCAACCAGTTGGCCCACTGCCTCCCCCCAACTATGGCAGGCCTGCTCTTATGCCTCTGACAAGCTCTGGTGGGGAGAAGTCTTCTTCTCAGACTCTCCCCCTGCATCACCAGGGCCCCATTTCTAGATAAATGAAAAGGGGTGGTTGGTTGACTGTTTACCGCAATTGGCATGATAGACTTGCTGTTTCGCCTCATGTTGCTTTCCGAAATGGGCTCTTCGTCCTGCAGCCTTTTCAGGAGGGGTCTCATAATCTTGGCATTGGAATACGGGTCTGCAACCAGTGCCCTCCATATCTGTGTTGCACTGCTGCAGATTTTCAAAAATAGATTTTGAAAAGTGAGAGCTCTAATACTTTCCCCTTTTCTGTTCAGAAGAAACTTCCCAATAGGGTGGCTTCCAACGTGGCCAAAGGAATTATGGAAATCTATAGATGGGCGGGAGAGACCAAAGGCCTAAGTTTCAGTTGCTCCAATTTAAAACAATGTTCCTACTGGCCAATTGGGGGTGCAGAACAAGGGCGTCAGGATCACTGGCACCCCAACATTCCCACCCACCCAGATCTTTACGAGTGTTTCTAACGCCTTTTCAACAACTGCAACTCAATTAAAATGTTTAATGTAGCTGAAGAAAAAGCTATGAAACATACAAGGAGTAATTGAATTAATAACATTTTGATAATTGAACCTTATTGAAATTAACATTCTATTTTATTTTCTTTGGGTCAATTTTTAGACCACTCATGGCCAAACTCCCCAAGCAGTATACAAAGTGCCCCGAACCTAATAAACTGAAACAGGTAAGATATAGAAATATTGCAAACTTCCATTAACGTAGAATTAAATTATCATTTCAGCAAGAGGGGTCACCATTTTAAACTGTAAACCCAGCTGAACATATCTTTGAGCTAATCCCACTCCTTCAGCCTCTTAAAGGAGACTTCTATCCTTGGTCTGAAAAAAAGGTTGTGCGTCCTTCCATTAAACTATGATTGATCAAATCGGCCGAGGCCACAACATGATTTCTGATTTTTGCTTGTTAAAAAGCAAAGAACTTCCACATAAAAGGAGAAGAAGCAGGCTGGGAGCATTTATGTTTGAGGCTGAGGTAGGTCTGGTCCCCCAATGCTAATCAATTATACCCTAACCTGGCATTCTTTAACCTCAGCTCCCATCATCCACCATCGGCATACACTTCTGGTTCAAATGGAAGCGTAGGGCAACTCTTAATTTGGACAGGATGAACAAGCAATTTAAAGGCAAACTTAGGCCTTGGGTCCAAAGACTCATAAGCAAAATTAGGGAGAAAATATTATCGGCACCAATTTGTGGGGCAGGAAATATTGATTTTCCAGAGGGATTAAAATACTGAAGCAGGCCGTGACTATTACCCATACTTTTCCCCATTTTCTTGGAAATAGTCCATGTCTGAGTGGAAAAGAAAGGTTTCAAACCATTTGTGGCATGAGAAACTTTGACTTCCAATGCCTTGTGGCTAAATTCCTGAGCATGCGCTGTGGCTAAGTATTATATGAAACTGAGACAGTAATTTTGCATCATTTGTTCAATGACTGCTAGAAGACAGAGGTAATGTGTAGCACTGATAGAATCCCCCCACCCCCACCCATTGGTTCCCTTTCCCATTTTTTCAGAAGTTCCTGAAAAATATATTTTTGCGGCTTTGTCTAAGTTACTATCTCCCTGCGAAGGAGAAAGGGTTGCCAACTGATTTGACTGCACGTAGCCTAACTTGCTCCTCTGCCTTTGCAGCATTTGATCGGCAGCAATGAAAGCCTTCTGAAGCATGGAAACTCTTCAAAGTACAGGAGCACCAGCAGGTGAAAAGTTGGCAACTCCGCTGCACCCACAGGGGCACTGTTGAACAGTTGGCAAGCCATGCCATGCCATGCCATCAAAGGCCTGTGCTTCGGTTGGCAATCCCTTCAACAGGGCATCTCTGACATCTGAAATGCCAGGGAACACAGATCTGATAGACAATGGAATAGTTCTAGTTGCACAGTGCCTATAAGAAGAATGAGAGAGAGATGATATGCCATCTCCTTGAGGTCCCTACTTATCGCACTCCACCGAACACTCCAGAAGCATGTCTACCACTCCGTTCAGACGTTTCGAAGCCAGGTGACACACTGACTGCAGCGTTTCTTCTTTGGTGGCCGGGTCAGTAATCTTGGGGAGACGGCTGTAAACTTCCTTGATAATCATGGGCAGCTATGGCAAGAGAGAGAGATCAGGGTGACGAGATCCACCATTGGTCTCCATTTCTTCCCACCCTTTACATCCAAAGGGTGGTTCCTGCTCCCCCTCTTAAGTCAGCTTCTCCCACTGCTTAATTTAGGGGTGGGTGCAGGGTGTGATCAAAAGAGTCAAGATGGTGGCCACGAGGATGTGATTGACGTTCCACCCAATTTTTATATTCATGGCACATAAAAAATGGGCTGAACTTTGATTGCACTGCCCTGAATGCCATCCTGACTTTTTGGTCCACACCCAGCAGATACCTTGGCTTACTCCTTATAGTAAATGGAATTGGGTGTCTGCTAGCAGTTGGGGGCCTCCTATCTTTAATGAGCCCATGTAGAGGGGTTGGAGAAAGGCCTAAAGCTCAGAATGAGCTGAGGATGTTAAGAGCCACAAGAAGAGCCGAGACGCTTCAGATGAAAGGGAGAGGACCTCATTAACGTGGCAACTGCTCTGGGAACACGTCAACACACTAACATGTAGCAGATAAAACGCAGAACTACTCCTCTTTTGGTTCAGTCCTCTCCAAGAAAAAAGGGAGAGTTCCAACAGGAATTCCTTAAGAGTGGGAAAAAGAGGCAGGATTGGAGTCTGAGAGGGATGGAAGTGGGGCCAGGCAATTTCGCTTTACTCTGAATGGGTTTAAATCTTGAGGGTCAGTTGAATTGCACCCAAGGGTACTGAAAGATCTAGCTGATGGGTTTGGATGAAATCAATCTTTAGGCATTATTTCTGAGAACGTATGGAGAACTGATGGAGGAAAAGAGATGCTATACCTAATTTTGGGGGGGGGGGCGGGGGGGGGAGGAAAATCAGGAGAACTAAAAATTGATTAGTCTGACGCTGATACTTATGAAGAAGTGTAAGAACTTTGGAAACAATACGGTTATGTCTGCAGGCTTCCGGGGAAGAAATGGTGGAGTGAAGATGGCTTCGTGAAAGCGGAGCTGACGACCGTGGCGGATTGAAGAGCCACAATCGTCCACAAGTGCCCCAGACAGCTGCTCCTTGGGAGGAGACCACAAAACAAAGGACTGTGGTGGGTTTATCACTCTGGGAGACGAGGGAAGAGCCACCCACTCTTAAGGTATCATTAAACTGGAGGGAAGTATCAAGTGGGAATCACAAAGTTTCATCAACTCTTCAAGATTCTTTAATTGACTTAGGTTTTATGTGATTGCATATTTATCTATTGTTTTAATGAGTTGTGAGCTGCCCAGAGTCCTCCATTAGTGGGAGATGGGCGGGGATACATTTAATAAATAAATACATGAATTAGGGAATGGGGAGAATGTTATCTAAGGACACAACAGAGTGGGGTGATGGAAAGAAGAGCCAAAGTACAGTGTCACTCACGGTCCCCCTCCTGTCTAGACATCAAGAGACTAATCTAGGTCTTCCTATTAGAGGTGAAAAAGAATTCTGCTGGGGTTCCTGCAGGAAGCAAAAGACGAGGAGGAGGAGGAGGAAGAAAACAGAAGAACATAACACAGACAAGTGTCCAGTCCTGTTCTCTCTAATTTCAGAGTGCAAGATGCAACATAATGGAAGGCAGACGCTCACTGAATGTCACGGAAAGCATCAAAAGTAAGAGCAATTTGACAGTGGAATCTGTGACCCAGAACGATGGTGGGAGGGTTCAAACAGAGGTTGGACAACTAATGAGCAGAACTAATTCCCCACCTCTGTGCTACAGCTTTTTCTGAGCTGGTGCCTTTTGATGTATGGGACTACCACCCCCATTAACCCCAGTCAGGTCCAGACTTGACGCCTGAAGACAACTTGGGTAGATAAATGTAGCTTTCGTGAAAACAATGTGGCTGTTTTTGCTCTTACGTTCTTCTGGGATGTCTACCCAATTTAGTCTACTGCCCTGAGATTACCTGGTGGTCTCCCACCCAAGTCCTAGCTTTCTTAAAGCCAGCCAAAGTCAGCTAAGTGCTGTCACTAATAGGAACTCAAAGCGCAAGGCCACGCACGTTCTTGCTTCCCTTTCTACAAGACCTCCTATTTCCCCCTCACTCCAGGCAATGGGTTTTCTTACTTCCTCCATGTCCATCCCACATTCCTCCAGGAAGGAGCTGAGCAGCAGTCCCGCGGCCTGAGAAATGTTCTTGTCTTCGTGTGTGAGCGACCTGATTGCTTTCAGGACAAGCTCTGTGATCTGCGGGGGGGAGAGATGCTCACCAAAGGCCTATTGGAAAGAAGGAAAGGACACCACGTAGAGATGCATCAGGATTTTTACTCATTCTCCCCACAAGCCAAGAGGGCCTTCAGAGACTTTGGCCCAGATTTGGGGAAATCTCTCCATGCAGAGAGGCAGGACTTATTCTGTGTAATCAGGGAGGTCCACTGATATCAGGGGGTGTGTTAAAAAAGTCAACACGGCAGCTGCAATTGCTTGCTCATGGCTGCTGTTTTGACTTTTTTGCCCCCCCGACACTCCTGTGTGTAGCGGAGGCCATATTGATCCCCACAAGATTTCTCCTGGCCCTTTGGGACTGGCAGCGAGATCTTTTGATGCAGGTATGTATCCGGTAAAGCCGTGTTTCTCAACCTTGGCAGCTTTCAGAGGTGTGGACTGCAACTCCCAGAATGCTCAGTGTTGAGCAACACTGCTGGGGGCAGGTAGCATGGACAGCCCCAAAGGGAGGGGCCCTTGGTTATCCCAGCCTTACCCCTTTTAAGTACATAACAGTCGCAGAAGAGAGATGGAAAGTAGGACACCAGGTGATCCATCCTCTACTCTGCACCATGAATGAAACAATTGGGTGGACGGGGATGACGTATGTAATAAAATCCACAACTCCTTCTCTCAGAGAGGTTATTTGTTTGGGGGGCAAAGGCAGATCTCGAAGGGAACAGAGAGAGCTAGGAGTTGAGGACTGAGGCAAGAACCAGTGGGATTTGACACCGACCCACTCCTTCAGAATTTAGCTGGTTGGAATTTCTAGGAAAGGAAAGGAAATCTGGCTAAAAGGAAAGCAGGGGAACACCTGTTTCCAGAGCCTTGTTTTGTGGAAATAGGTAAATATTTTTAGCCAGGAAACTGCGTTAGAACTTTGATTTATTTTGCTGGGTGTGCTAGAAAAGTCACATGGTCTCTTCCTCTTCTGTCTCTGCACAAGTGGACCCTTCTGTGTAAGACTCATTTGTCTTTTAATTCACTTTTTGGAAGGGGAGGTTTTTTTTTTTAATTCACTTTAATTTGGAAGTGGAGATGCTCCCCTAACTTGCAAATTGCAGAGGAACAGCACCATCGTGTGATCTGCTGGAATTCTTATACTGACTTTTAGACCTTCTGTCGGATGGAGGTCAAAAAGGGGCAGCGGTGGTATCATGCAGCCACAACCACCATCTTGACTTTTTTGACCATCCCCGGGGCACAAGGAAGGCAGAAGGACAGGCCAACAAGAAGGAAGAGAGAATGCTGAATGAAAGCGTACCTTAGCCACTTTGGAGATGTTGTTGTAAAAGATGGATGGACCTGAGATGAAGAAATCTTCTCTCAGCCATTTCACAACATTCCCTTTCTTATTCTTGCGCTTCTTCTCCATCTCTTTAGCTTTTGGGGGAGGAAAAAGGATGCTGTTGGAGTTGCTTGTCACCAAAGTGTCCTGGGGGGGGGAGGTACCTGGGGCGAAATAACGCTAGCAGCATCCACCCTTTTCACACTTGCAGGGTGATTTCACACGCATGTACAAATGGGGCGATGCTGTGATACCTTTGGCAATTGGAGCAGGCTCTGCATCTTCACCCAAAAAGAGTACAACTCTCTTAGGGGGACATGGACACCCCCCCAACCCTTTGGGACTTTTTAATCCCAGAAGTGTGCAAAGTTCCCTCCTTGTTGGCGTCTGGAAGATCATGATGATGGCTTCAACCCTAATGAAGGGTTGTTGCTGTCCATCTTGGTGGGGACTGATCTGTTATTATTATTGTTGCTTTTTATATTGTTCTGGGCTGTAACCTGCAGAGTCTTCTGATTGGGGTGGGGTATAAACACTGTAAAATAAATGATTAAACAAACACACTTATTTGTAAGCTGGCCACGTCTGCCCTGGCTTTGCATGAAGCCACAGCTTGATCAGCTCCCATTGATTGAACCAACATGCTACCTGTCATCATCTGATGATGATGTGGCCCGTGTGGTTCTGATGGCTTTGCCAAACCCACATTTGCAAAGAATAAGTGGCCTGCTGGATTCAACCCTGACTTTGTGGAGAGTCAAAAAGTCTCACAGGGAGGAAAAGGAATGTAGCCGTGACAGCTCTTGGGTCACCGTTGGGACCTTCTCTTTGTTAGGGTTGGTGATGTTAAACCTGGCATGGTCTCTCTCTCTCTCTCACACACACACACACTTTGCATGGCATCAGGGCACTCACATTCAGGGGTGCCCACAAGGTATGGTAAAAAACAAAAGAAAAATCAAGATGGTGGCCATGACGGTGTGATGCACACAAAATCAGGGAGGGTTTTGCTTGCACCATCATGACCACCAGCCTAATTTTTTGATCATATTAGAATAGAATAGAATAGAATAGAATAGAATAGAATAGAATAGAATAGAATAGAATA